AAGCCCCCCCCCCCCCCCCCCCCCCCCCAAAAAAAAGAAGAAAACAGAGTAAGATACATAGTATAAGGTGGATTATAAATGATGTGTAGACCAATATAAGTATAAGCATTCCATACAGAGATCCCTATAGAATATAGTTGTAAATACACAGTACAGATAAGCCAACCACCAGCTATGCTAGCTTACAATAATAAAGTTCACTGAAAACACACTGGCCATCCCCCTAAACACACTTACTAAAAATACACTGGTCATTCCCAAGTACTGATTTACCTCCAAACTTCCCAAGTACTGATTAACCTCAAAAGTTCCCAAGTACTGATTTACCTACCAACTGCCCAAGTACTGATTTACCTCCCAACTTCCATAGTACTGATTTACCTCCGAACTTCCCAAGTACTAATTTACCTCCCAACTTTCCAAGTACTGACTTACCTCCCAACTTCCCAAGTACTGATTTACCTCAAAACTTCCAAAGTACTGATTTACCTCAAAACTTTCCAAGTACTGATTTACCTCCCAACTTCCCAAGTACTGATTTACCTCCGAACTAAGTACTGATTTACCTCCAAACTTCCAAAGTACTAATTTACCTCCCAACTTCCCAAGTACTAATTTACCTCCCAACTTCACAAGTACTCACTTGCCTCCCAACTTCCCAAGTACTCACTTGCCTCCCAACTCTCAAGTACTCACTTGCCTCCCAACATCCCAAGTACTTACTTGCCTCCCAACTCTCAAGTAATCTCTTGCCTCCCAACTTCCCAAGTACTCACTTGCCTCCCAACATCCCAAGTACTTACTTAACTCCAAACTTCCAAAGTACTCACTTGCCTCCCAACTTCTCAAGTACTCATTTCCCTTCCAACTTCCCAAGTACTTACTTGCCTCCAAACTTCCCAAGTACTGTAACTTACTGGAGGAGATGATGTACTCACTTGCCTCCCAACTCTCAAGTAATCTCTTGCCTCCCAACTTCCCAAGTACTCACTTGCCTCCCAACTTCTCAAGTACTTACTTACCTCCCAACTTCCCAAGTACTTACTTGCCTCCCAACTTCCCAAATACTTACTTGCCTCCCAACTTCCCAAGTACTTACTTGCCTCCCAACTTCTCAAGTACTCACTTGCCTCCCAACTTCCTAAGTACTTACTTGCCTCCCAACTTCTCAAATACTTACTTGCCTCCCAACTTCCCAAGTACTTACTTACCACCCAACTTCCAAAGTACTTACTTACCTCCCAACTTCCAAAGTACTTACTTACCTCCCAACTTCCCAAGTACTTACTTACCACCCAACTTCCAAAGTACTTACTTACCTCCCAACTTCCCAAATACTCACTTGCCTCCCAACTTCCCAAGTACTTACTTTCCTCCCAACTTCCAAAGTACTTACTTGCCTCCCAACTTCCTAAGTACTCACTTGCCTCCCAACTTCCAAAGTACTTACTTTCCTCCCAACTTCCAAAGTACTTACTTACCTCCCAACTTCCCAAGTACTTACTTACCTCCCAACTTCCAAAGTACTTACTTACCTCCCAACTTCCAAAGTACTTACTTGCCTCCCAACTTCCCAAGTACTTACTTACCTCCCAACTTCCAAAGTACTTACTTGCCTCCCAACTGCCAAAGTACTTACTTTCCTCCCAACTTCCAAAGTACTTACTTGCCTCCCAACTTCCCAAGTACTTACTTGCCTCCCAACTTCCCAAAGTACTCACTTGCCTCCCAACTTCTCAAGTACTTACTTGCCTCCCAACTCTCAAGTACTTACTTGCCTACCAACTCTCAAGTATTGATTTGTCACCCAGCTTCCCAAGTATTTACAAATTAACCAGCTTCCCAAGTATTTACAAATTAACCAGCTTCCCAAGTATTTACAAATTAACCAGCTTCCCAAGTATTCATTGCCCACCCAGCAAGTCACATTCCTAAGTTCATACATACAACTTGAACACATAACACAGTTAATCAACACATTGTAAGTGTTTTAGTATAATCAATGATAAAATCCAACACTTCATGCACAGAACACTGAAACGTGGCCAACAAGAAAATCCACACTACAGACTTGATGTGTGATGTGAGTTTAGTCTTCTGAGCCACAGGCACTGTTAATTAACACCTTCACTCACATCCCAGGACATGCTAGGGACCAGAAGGCTGGTTCTGTATGACATTAGCCTTACAGGAAGAGTAAGTATCTTACTAGGTGTGTATCACTAAAACTACGGTAATCTACAGCTGTATTTACAAAGAGGAAGAGGTGTTAGGTAACATAAGTATATATTCTACAGAAACTAACATTAGTTATAGCATGTACTATTTCACAGTGTGATCATTGTTTAGAGGTTTCATGCTAAGAATGTATAAATAATATGGAACAATAAAATGCTTTCATATAAGTATCTATATGTGTTCACTAATATGTAATCAGTATGCGTAAAAGATGAGCTAATAAATGTTTATACAGTAGAAAGAGTTCAAATATACAAACAAGCCATTTGGATTGATATGTTTCGTCTGTGCCCCTCTTTGACCATCAATGCACTTGTCAAGTTTGGTTGATCTAGCACTTATAGTTTCAGAGAAACTAACTTAAACGTAAAAACTTAATGTTGATGGAGATGCTGACTAAGTCAATGGACTATGAAATGTAGGCCACATCCAGCATTTGATTTGTGGGTTGAGATGGACTACCTAAGATGCATCTATGGTCCACGTTTGGTTGGTCTAGACCTTATACTTTCATTAAAACTAACTTAAACGCAAAAACTTAATGATCACGCCACCGCCACTGGAAAAGCAACACCCGAGTCTCACTTCTACTTTGTGGAGGCAAGACAAAAACTTTGTATCAGTTTATCTAACACATAATATTGAGGTCATTATGTAAACCAGTTTTCGTGGATATTACCACAGGCCATTGATTAAAGAATAATTTATATTGGCCCAGTTAGTTCACCAACTACTGTATTGGAGGATTTCTATTGGTCCCAGTAGGTATAGACTGGTTACACAGTGAGTATTAGTACAGAGCTACAGTGACTAGCACTACTTACCAAGTTCTGTGGAATAAACAGCAGAGATTTACATAACAAGCAGGTATCTTATAATGTCACAGTACTTAATACACATAGTGAAGCTGCCAGACACAGTAAAGATGCCTTACACCAGTATGTTAATATTACCCTACGTATAATTAAGGAAATCATGTTACTGAATGGAAGCTGTTTTTTACAATTAAATGTTCAATGATATCAACACAGAGTCCACCCCCCTTAGCTAGTTACTTGGTACATTATGTAGATCACCTGTAAATTAAGACCTTGGTCTCACTAGATAGCTTCTGTATTGGACACAACAGATTACATCATAATACAAATATATAGTGTGAGTCAATTTGTCATTACAAACATATCTTGACTGATCAAACAACAATTGAATTCAACCCGACAGTTCTTTTTTGAGTAAGAAGTGTTCTGTTAAGATTTTCGGAGACATTTCGTAGGATATGACTGGTGACGTGGGTAGGTCACCCAATAACTTGAGAACTTACCTGGCCACTAAAGTGGATCTCTATGAACTTGCCAAATCGACTACTGTTGTTGTTCCTCATGGTCTTGGCATTTCCAAAGGCTTCTAACAAGGGGTTTGCTGTAAAATATGGCGGTACAGGTCAATAAGTATCATCTGTAATTAACTTATCATGCATATATATATTACGCAATAATACAGTCACCTACTTCTGTATATATATATATATATATTTGGCCTATACTTATCGTTCTAAAAATCCTCAGCTCTGTTTCCTGAGATCCTCGCCTGTCCCTTAATACATTCACTCTAGATATATGTTGCCAAAGAATTAATTTCCCCTCAGGCCAACACTCTAAAATCTCCCGTTTTATGTTTTGGGAGATTACCCGTCCCCTTTGACTTACACTCTAAAATCTCCCGTTTTATGTTTTGGGAGATTACCAGTCCCCTTTGACTTACACTCTAGAATCCTCTGTTCTATGTTTTGGGAGATTACCCGTCCCCTTTGACTTACACTCTAAAATCTCCCGTTTTATGTTTTGGGAGATTACCAGGCCCCTTTGACTTACCCCCTAGAATCCCCTGTTCTATGTTTTGGGAGATTACCCGTCCCTTTGACTTACACTCTAGAATCCTGTGTGCTATGTTTTGTGAGATTACCCGTCCCCTTTGACTTACACTCTAGAATCGTCTGTTCTATGTTTTGGGAGATTACCCGTCCCTTTGACTTACACTCTAGAATCCTGTGTGCTATGTTTTGTGAGATTACCCGTCCCCTTTGACTTACACTCTAAAATCTCCCGTTTTATGTTTTGGGAGATTACCAGGCCCCTTTGACTTACCCCCTAGAATCCCCTGTTCTATGTTTTGGGAGATTACCCGTCCCTTTGACTTACACTCTAGAATCCTGTGTGCTATGTTTTGTGAGATTACCCGTCCCCTTTGACTTACACTCTAAAATCTCCCGTTTTATGTTTTGGGAGATTACCAGGCCCCTTTGACTTACCCCCTAGAATCCCCTGTTCTATGTTTTGGGAGATTACCCGTCCCTTTGACTTACACTCTAGAATCCTGTGTGCTATGTTTTGTGAGATTACCCGTCCCCTTTGACTTACACTCTAGAATCGTCTGTTCTATGTTTTGGGAGATTACCCGTCCCCTTTGACTTACACTCTAGGATCCTCTGTTCTATGTTTTGGGAGATTACCCGTCCCTTTGACTTACACTCTAGAATCCTGTGTGCTATGTTTTGTGAGATTACCCGTCCCCTTTGACTTACACTCTAAAATCTCCCGTTTTATGTTTTGGGAGATTACCAGGCCCCTTTGACTTACCCCCTAGAATCCCCTGTTCTATGTTTTGGGAGATTACCCGTCCCCTTTGACTTACACTCTAAAATCTCCCGTTTTATGTTTTGGGAGATTACCAGGCCCCTTTGACTTACCCCCTAGAATCCCCTGTTCTATGTTTTGGGAGATTACCCGTCCCTTTGACTTACACTCTAGAATCCTGTGTGCTATGTTTTGTGAGATTACCCGTCCCCTTTGACTTACACTCTAGGATCCTCTGTTCTATGTTTTGGGAGATTACCCGTCCCCTATAACTTACACTCTAGAATCCTCTGTTCTATGTTAAGGGAGATTACCCGTCCCCTCTGACTTACACTCTGGAATCCTCTGTTCTATGTTTTGGGAGATTACCCATCCCCTCTGACTTACACTCTAGAATCCTCTGTTCTATGTTAAGGGAGATTACCCGTCCCCTATAACTTACACTCTAGAATCCTCTGTTCTATGTTTTGGGAGATTACCCGTCCCCTTTGACTTACACTCTAAAATCCTCTGTTCTATGTTTTGGGAGATTACACGTCCCCTTTGACTTACACTCTAGAATCCTCTGCTCTATGTTTTGGGAGATTACCCATCCCCTCTGACTTACACTCTAGAATCCTCTGTTCTATGTTTTGGTAGATTACTCTTCCCCTCTGACTTACACTCTAGAATCCTCTGTTCTATGTTTCGGGAGATTACTCTTCCCCTCTGACTTACACTCTAGAATCCTCTGTTCTATGATTTGGGAGATTACCCGTCCCCTCTGACATACACTCTAAAATCCTCTGTTCTATGTTTTGGGAGATTACTCGTCCCCTTTGACTTACACTCTAAAATCCTCTGTTCGATCTGTCCTGAGCTCTGGCCTCGTGACATGGTCAGGTACTTGAGTATGTACTTTGTGGATTCTGTCTTTCCTGCTCCAGATTCCCCGCTAACGATGATGGACTGGCTCAGCTTAGACACCTTCATATCTCGTAGAGCTTTGTCAGCTGTAACCAAGCAAATCAAACCTCAGCTAGGATAAATGGACACCAGCAGGATCTGTCATCAGTTAGGGTCACAGACAGGATATATCATCAGTTAGGGTTACCAGCAGGATATATCATCAGTTAGGGTCACCAACAGGATATATCATCAGTTAGGGTCACCAACAGGATATATCGTTAGTTAGGGTCACCAACAGGATCTGTCATCAGTTAGGGTCACCAACAGGATATATCATCACTTAGGGTCACCAACAGGATATTTTGTTAGTTAGGGTCACCAACAGGATATATCATCAGTTAGGGTCACAAACAGGATATATCATTAGTTAGGGTCACTAATAGGATATATCATTAGTTAGGGTCACTAACAGGATATATCATTAGTTAGGGGCACCAACAGGATATATCATCAGTTAGGGTCACCAATAGGAGATATCATCAGTTAGCTATATAGGGTCACAAACAGGATATATCATCAGTTAGGGTCACCAATAGGAGATATCATCAGTTAGCTATATAGGGTCACCAACAGGATATATCATTACTTAGGGTCACCAACAGGATATTTCGTTAGTTAGGGTCACCAACAGGATATATCGTCAGTTAGGGTCACCAAAAGGATATATCATCAGTTAGGGTCACGAACAGGATATATCATCAGTTAGGGTCACAAACAGGATATATCATCAGTTAGGGTTACCAATAGGATATATCATCAGTTAGCTATATAGGGTCACCAACTGGATATATCATCAGTTAGGGTCACCAATAGGATATATCATCAGTTAGGGTCACCAATAGGAGATATCATCAGTTAGCTATATAGGGTCACCAACTGGATATATCATCAGTTAGGGTCACCAATAGGAGATATCATCAGTTAGCTATATAGGGTCGCCAACAGGATATATCATTAGTTAGGGTAACCAACAGGATATATCATGAGTTAGGGTCACCAACAGGATATATCGTCAGTTAGGGTCACCAAAAGGATATATCATCAGTTAGGGTTACCAATAGGATATATCATCAGTTAGGGTCACAAACAGGATATATCATTAGTTAGGGTCACTAATAGGATATATCATTAGTTAGGGTCACTAACAGGATATATCATTAGTTAGGGGCACCAACAGGATATATCGTTAGTTAGGGTCACCAAAAGGATATATCATCAGTTAGGGTCACCAATAGGAGATATCATCAGTTAGCTATATAGGGTCGCCAACAGGATATATCATTAGTTAGGGTAACCAACAGGATATATCAACAGTTAGGGTCACCAACAGGATATATCATGAGTTAGGGTCACCAACAGGATATATCATAAGTTAGGGTCACCAACAGGATATATAATGACCCCGGGTCACCAACAGGATATATCATCACTTAGGGTCGCCAACAGGATATTTTGTTAGTTAGGGTCACCAACAGGAGTCACCAACAGGATATTTTGTTAGTTAGGGTCACCAACAGGAGATATCATCAGTTAGGGTCACCAACAGTATATATCGTTAGTTAGGGTCACCAAAAGGATATATCATCAGTTAGGGTCACCAATAGGATATATCATCAGTTAGCTATATAGGGCCGGGTCACCAACAGGATATATCATTACTTAGGGTCACCAACAGGATATTTCGTTAGTTAGGGTCACCAACAGGATATATAATGACCCCGGGTCACCAACAGGATATATCATCACTTAGGGTCCCCATCAGGATATTTTGTTAGTTAGGGTCACCAACAGGAGTCACCAACAGGATATTTTGTTAGTTAGGGTCACCAACAGGAGTCACCAACAGGATATTTTGTTAGTTAGGGTCTCCAACAGGATATATCATTAGTTAGGATCACCAACAGGATATATCATCAGTTATGGTCACCAACAGGATATATCATTAGTTAGGGTCACCAACAGGATATATCGTTAGTTAGGGTCACCAAAAGGATATATCATCAGTTAGGGTTACCAATAGGATATATCATCAGTTAGCTATATAGGGTCACCAACAGGATATATCATCAGTTAGGGTCACCAACAGGATATATTGTTAGTTAGGGTCACCAACAGGATATATCATCAGTTAGGGTCACCAACAGGATATAGCATCAGTTAGCTATATAGGGTCACCAACAGGATATATCATCAGTTAGGGTCACCAAAAGGATATATCATCAGTTAGGGTCACCAACAGGATATATCATCAGTTAGCTATATAGGGCCGGGTCACCAACAGGATATATCATCAGTTAGGGTCACCAACAGGATATATCATCAGTTAGGGTCACCAACAGGATATATCATCAGTTAGCTATATAGGGTCACCAACAGGATATATCATCAGTTAGCTATATAGGGTCACCAACAGGATATATCATGAAAATCAAGTTGTTTCTTCATTGACATGTATTGAAATGTGTATAGTTGCGTATACCTGTATGATACATACTCTGTGTATAGGTGTGTTAACCTGTCTGACACACACTCTGTGTATAGGTGTGTTTACCTGTCTGACACACACTCTGTGTATAGTTGTGTATACCTGTCTAATACAAACTCTGTGTATAGGTATGTATACCTTTCTGACACACACTCTGTGTATAGGTGTGTTTCCCTGTAGGACATGTACTCTGTGTAAAGTTGTGCATACCTGTATGATACATACTCTGTGTATAGGTGTGTATACCTGTGTGACATGTACTCTGTGTACACCTGTTTGATACACACTCTGTGTATAGGTGTGTTTACCTGTATGATACATACTCTGTGTATATGTGTGTATACCTGTCTGACACACACTCTGTGTATAGGTGTGTATACCTGTCTGACACACATTCTGTGTATAGGTGTGAATAGCTGTCTGACACACATTCTGTGTATAGGTGTGTATACCTGTCTGACACACATTCTGTGTATAGGTGTTTTTACCTGTCTGACACATACTGTGTATAGGTGTGGTTACCTGTATGACACATACTCTGTGTATAGGTGTGTTTACCTGTATGACACATACTCTGTGTACAGGTGTGTTTACCTGTCTGACACATACTCTGTGTATAGGTGTGGTTACCTGTATGACACATACTCTCTGTGTATAGGTGTGGTTACCTGTATGACACATACTCTGTGTATAGGTGTGTTTACCTATCTGACACATACTCTGTGTATAGGTGTGGTTACCTATCTGACACATACTCTGTGTATAGGTGTGGTTACCTGTCTGACACATACTCTGTGTATAGGTGTGGTTACCTGTCTGACACATACTCTGTGTATAGGTGTGGTTACCTGTCTGACACATACTCTGTGTATAGGTGTGGTTACCTGTCTGACACATACTCTGTGTATAGGTGTGGTTACCTGTCTGACACATACTCTGTGTATAGGTGTGGTTACCTGTCTGACACATACTCTGTGTATAGGTGTGGTTACCTGTCTGACACATACTCTGTGTATAGGTGTGGTTACCTGTCTGACACATACTCTGTGTATAGGTGTGGTTACCTGTCTGACACATACTCTGTGTATAGGTGTGGTTACCTGTCTGACACATACTCTGTGTATAGGTGTGGTTACCTGTCTGACACATACTCTGTGTATAGGTGTGGTTACCTGTCTGACACATACTCTGTGTATAGGTGTGGTTACCTGTCTGACACATACTCTGTGTATAGGTGTGGTTACCTGTCTGACACATACTCTGTGTATAGGTGTGGTTACCTGTCTGACACATACTCTGTGTATAGGTGTGGTTACCTGTCTGACACATACTCTGTGTATAGGTGTGGTTACCTGTCTGACACATACTCTGTGTATAGGTGTGGTTACCTGTCTGACACATACTCTGTGTATAGGTGTGGTTACCTGTCTGACACATACTCTGTGTATAGGTGTGGTTACCTGTCTGACACATACTCTGTGTATAGGTGTGGTTACCTGTCTGACACATACTCTGTGTATAGGTGTGGTTACCTGTCTGACACATACTCTGTGTATAGGTGTGGTTACCTGTCTGACACATACTCTGTGTATAGGTGTGGTTACCTGTCTGACACATACTCTGTGTATAGGTGTGGTTACCTGTCTGACACATACTCTGTGTATAGGTGTGGTTACCTGTATGACACATACTCTGTGTATAGGTGTGGTTACCTGTGTGACACTTACCTATGGCGTACACATGTGGAGGCATAGTTCCCAGAGATTTGCCCTGGTATTTCTGGATGGTGGCGTTGGTGTAAAGATCAGGTACCTCATAGTACGGATTCAGAGCAATCAGTATGTTGGCAGTGTAGGTCTGTAACATATTCATGTATATAATATCAAATTTTATATTTTTTTAATCCGTCACCATTAATGCATTGTTTAATACGAAAGTGATATTCATTTCTGAGGTAAGATACAATCTAGAAATTCCATAAGGCAGTTACAAATTCAAGTTAAGTCTAAATTCAAAAGTTGATCTATCTAAAACAAAATTGTTTGCAAGCCGATATGTTATGCCCCCTTAAGCCCCTACCTTCCTTGTGAGGGGTACGGTATAACGATGTGAACAGCACCGCTATGTTATGCCCCCTTAAGCCCCTACCTTCCTTGTGAGGGGTATGGTATAACGATGTGAACAGCAGAACTAGTTTGTACAGACAATCATTCTATGCTGGTCACTATGAAATCAACTTGTTTTGATATTCGCACCCAAGTCATGCCTAACTACCACCTGAAATGTACCCTACACACACTTGGAAAGTAACTGAAATGGAAGCAGATTAGCCTAACAAGACAATATCTAACACACAAACTTACATAGATCATGTTTTTCATGTAACGGATCCTGAGATTGTGGAGAAGCGTGGCCTCGTTGAGGAACATAAGCCCACCTGTGGAAAACAACAATGATACGATGATAGGTGGAGACAGAAACTAAATTACTTACAATTTTATCACAAGCATATGCATTATTTCGAGAAATGAAAGGGCCTAGATTAATAATTTCCTCCGCAGAGTTTATTTATAATGCTGATATGAAAATATCCTTGTCCAAGCCTCCTGCAATAACAGCAGGTCACCCTTTTACCTACTTAGTGATCAAACAGGTCTAGCTTAGATCACCAGCCATAGAATCGGACATGTTAGTTTTCAAGAATTGAGAGGCCAAATGGAACAAGTACAGTGATAGATATGATGACTGAAGATTGAGAAATTGTATGGGACAAGTAGTGTGTTAGATGTTTAGATTCGGGGTTACAACAGTGTATGGGTGTAAACATACAGTTGTCGTCGACATCCTTGTTGTCATACTCCTCCGCAGGGAACACTCTGTCGTACACGGAGTGGATTGTCTGTAAATAACAACACCATTAGCTTATCAATCACATATATACCAGAAACATGGGTAATAGAAATGTCTCAATTAATGTCTTATCAATCACATATATACCAGAAACATGGGTAATAGAAATGTCTCAATTAATGTCTTATCAATCACATATATACCAGAAACATGGGTAATAGAAATGTCTCAATTAATGTCTTATCAATCACATATATACCAGAAACATGTGTAATAGAAATGTCTCAATTAATGTCTTATCAATCACATATATACCAGAAACATGTGTAATAGAAATGTCTCAATTAATGTCTTATCAATCACATATATACCAGAAACATGTGTAATAGAAATGTCTCAATTAATGTCTTATCAATCACATATATACCAGAAACATGTGTAATAGAAATGTCTCAATTAATGTCTTATCAATCACATATATACCAGAAACATGTGTAATAGAAATGTCTCAATTAATGTCTTATCAATCACATATATACCAGAAACATGTGTAATAGAAATGTCTCAATTAATGTCTTATCAATCACATATATACCAGAAACATGTGTAATAGAAATGTCTCAATTAATGTCTTATCAATCACATATATACCAGAAACATGTGTAATAGAAATGTCTCAATTAATGTCTTATCAATCACATATATACCAGAAACATGTGTAATAGAAATGTCTCAATTAATGTCTTATCAATCACATATATACCAGAAACATGTGTAATAGAAATGTCTCAATTAATGTCTTATCAATCACATATATACCAGAAACATGTGTAATAGAAATGTCTCAATTAATGTCTTATCAATCACATATATACCAGAAACATGTGTAATAGAAATGTCTCAATTAATGTCTTATCAATCACATATATACCAGAAACACATGTAATAGAAATGTCTCAATTAATGTCTTATCAATCACATATATACCAGAAACATGAGTTATAGAAATGTCTTATCAATCGCATATATACCAGAAACATGAGTAATAGATTTAATGTCTCAATTAATGTCTTCAGTTTCTACAATATATCTTTTTATTTACTGCAATACCTAAAAATGTATCAAAGTAATGTTTTAAAGTTATCTGCCTGACATAACTGATTTAAGATTTAAGAGTTTCCAAGAATTCATTTTTTCAGATATGTGCCTGTGATAAGATTACCACAGTACTGTTTTTGCTGTGTTATCATGAGGGGCCCTTATAAGAGGGTATATCTTACCGTTCCGGGAGCATCAAACGGTTCTATGGAGATGTTGTCGGACCCTATGTCAGTGATCCGTCCTAGCTTGAAGCCATCGGCCGCGTGTGGCACCCACACCTTCTTCCCGCCGTCCATGGTGAATCACCACCTGTAATTAACAGGTGATAGCAGGTGTCAAGGTGATGGGATATATACAGGTACTTGGTTACATACACATTTAAAGCTTAACAGTGACCATAAAATACCATTTACTACAGCATGTTTTTACATAAAGAACTCAAGACATTGACCTTCACAAAACTTTGAAAGGTGTTACAGGATGAACATGTTAACACTGTATGCCCTGTGCGGCTTTTTACTGAAATAGGATGTATATATATATACAATATATAATATACCAGAATATATATATATATATATAGATAAACAACATGCATGAATTCAGCCTTATGCAAGATATGACATTATCTAAACTGCATTTGTACATCAAATTATGTTAAAATTGAGTAATTTTTTTCGGAGTTATTGCATGAAAATCAGAAAAGGTAGCCTCATTACATAGGCCATAAATATGTACACATCAGTGCAGCAATTTATCAAACTTGGTCCAACACTTGTCAATATTAATGTGCAAGCCGAATTCTGTTGTAATCCAACCGTTTTTAGGGGAGTTGTTGCCCAGGAACCAAATAGCGCATCAGAAATGTCTAACCTCATTAATGATGCATAAATATGCATGCATGGATTTGGCCAACAAACTTAGCCTGACACCTGCCACATACACCAAAATTGATATGCCTAAATAGGCTAATTTTCTCTTAAAGTGGGTGATAAAAAAAAGGATTACATAATGCTTGTGTATATGATGCATACTATTGTAGATACATTTAGTATTTAGCAACAAAGTGTTAAAAATGTCTTTAAAACCAAACATTCTCCAATTTTGGTTGGTCTTTTCTGTGAAAATATTCAATTTCAAAGCATTTGAATAAAACTAGCACCCTGGAGATCTATCGCAAACAACATCTATCTCATAAGACAGGGCCATGATCAGCTATACTGAAATCTAGATTTACTGGCGACGTGATGGGAGGCTGATACAGGCAGTAGGAGGACGCCAGGCTTTCCTGTTGTACCTCAGGGTTATCTTCTAGTAGCTTTACCTGTATTGATTTTAAATCTGCCACAGGTATCAGTATATATGTACTACAGGTAGGCAGTGGTGAGGCCATCTGCTCCACAATCCAGATTAGAGTTTTGTTATGCAGTACATTCATACCCATGTATAGTAGTGTTGGCAGTTACAGTAACTGCAATGAATACTGAGAGTATACACTGAGGATCCTGTGTGCTACAAACCTATCAGTAACCAGTCGACCAGTACTTCCTACATACTGAGACAGCAATTTGTCAGTCAGATATGCTCTCCAAATTTAAATTTTCAAATGTACATTCAATTTTGGACCTATACTGATTACAGGAAATGTTGGCCACTGTTAAACTTTTGCCTTTTTTCACCGTCTGTGAGGAGGGCAAATTTATCACGACGGTGGAAAAAATAGCACACAATACACATAATATGTAAAGGATGAAAACACTGCGCGAAAATGGTCATACCATGGCCAGTGAAGGGCCAGTGAAGGGCCAGTGAAGGGCAAAAGGTTGACAGGGTGAAAGTTTCTGGTAAACAGATCACAAATCAAGATAAGAATTGTGTGTCAAAACACCTATCATTTCATGATAGTTATGTTGTATACATTTGATCAACTACCCTGCAGTAGGTACAGTTGGTCTGATATCACCACTGTCCTATTAGTAGTATACAATATAAAGTATAGACAAAACAATACTTTAACTATAGAATCCTGTCTATAACTGTCAAAAACTTAGTTTAACCACAGAAACCGTCCCATAACATCATTAAGTACCATACAGAGAAACTATTCTATACCTTAACAGTACAACAGTAACCAGTCTATAACATACCACTGTCTATAACATCAGTACCATACAGAGAAACTATTCTATACCTTAACAGTACAACAGTAACCAGTCTATAACATAACTGTCTATAACATCAGTACCATACAGAGAAACTATTCTATACCTTAACAGTACAACAGTAACCAGTCTATAACATAACTGTCTATAACATCAGTACCATACAGAGAAACTATTCTATACCTTAACAGTACAACAGTAACCAGTCTATAACATAACTGTCTATAACATCAGTACCATACAGAGAAACTATTCTATACCTTAACAGTACAACAGTAACCAGTCTATAACATAACTGTCTATAACATCAGTACCATACAGAGAAACTATTCTATACCTTAACAGTACAACAGTAACCAGTCTATAACATAACTGTCTATAACATCAGTACCATACAGAGAAACTATTCTATACCTTAACAGTACAACAGTAACCAGTCTATAACATAACTGTCTATAACATCAGTACCATACAGAGAAACTATTCTATACCTTAACAGTACAACAGTAACCAGTCTATAACATAACTGTCTATAACATCAGTACCATACAGAGAAACTATTCTATACCTTAACAGTACAACAGTAACCAGTCTATAACATAACTGTCTATAACATCAGTACCATACAGAGAAACTATTCTATACCTTAACAGTACAACAGTAACCAGTCTATAACATAACTGTCTATAACATCAGTACCATACAGAGAAACTATTCTATACCTTAACAGTACAACAGTAACCAGTCTATAACATAACTGTCTATAACATCAGTACCATACAGAGAAACTATTCTATACCTTAACAGTACAACAGTAACCAGTCTATAACATAACTGTCTATAACATCAGTACCATACAGAGAAACTATTCTATACCTTAACAGTACAACAGTAACCAGTCTATAACATAACTGTCTATAACATCAGTACCATACAGAGAAACTATTCTATACCTTAACAGTACAACAGTAACCAGTCTATAACATAACTGTCTATAACATCAGTACCATACAGAGAAACTATTCTATACCTTAACAGTACAACAGTAACCAGTCTATAACATAACTGTCTATAACATCAGTACCATACAGAGAAACTATTCTATACCTTAACAGTACAACAGTAACCAGTCTATAACATAACTGTCTATAACATCAGTACCATACAGAGAAACTATTCTATACCTTAACAGTACAACAGTAACCAGTCTATAACATAACTGTCTATAACATCAGTACCATACAGAGAAACTATTCTATACCTTAACAGTACAACAGTAACCAGTCTATAACATAACTGTCTATAACATCAGTACCATACAGAGAAACTATTCTATACCTTAACAGTACAACAGTAACCAGTCTATAACATAACTGTCTATAACATCAGTACCATACAGAGAAACTATTCTATACCTTAACAGTACAACAGTAACCAGTCTATAACATAACTGTCTATAACATCAGTACCATACAGAGAAACTATTCTATACCTTATAATTAACAGTACAACAGTAACCAGTCTATAACATAACTTAGCACAGAAACTTCTCCATTATAGCCAGCATGATAAAGGTCTGGTCTACATGCGTGATATGGTTCCAAAATATTACTTCCCTGACATGTACATTGGCATATACAATCATTCTGTCAATATACCCTGCACCAAAGCACCTTGTAAAGCCTAGACTGATTTAAAACCAGCAAAGATATCTCTGTATCAGAGACTTATGACATTTTGTACAAACACTCTAATAGAACAATGTGAAACAAGAGGCCCAATGGGCCTGCATCGCTCACCTGTTATTAATCTAACACTTGTAATATTAAGATTTCATAAGAACCTATTAAAAGATTTAAACATATGATGCCTCTGACCTTGATTGTCGAACAAGGACATTAGGTTGAAAGTGGATCAAGGTCATTCATTTGAACTAGCATGGTAGTCCTTCATCCCAGCATGCTACAGGCCCAAATTCAGTACCCTGGCTCTTTTGCTTATTGAAAAGAAGTTGCTTGAAGATTTTACGACATTTGACCCCTGTGACCTTGAAAGTGGGTCAAGGTCATTCAGTTGAACAAACTTGATAGTCCTTCATCCCAGCATAATACAGGCCCATGACAGTACCTGGGCCTTTTGGTTATTGAGAAGAAGTTGTTTTAAGATTTTAAGACATCAGACCCCAGTGACCTTGAAAGTGGGTCAAGGTTATTTATTTGAACAAACTTGGTAGCCCTTCATCCCAGTATGCTACAGGCCCAATATCAGTACCCTGGGCCATTTGGTTATTGAGAAGAAGTTGTTTGAGGATTTTAAAGACATATGACACCAGTGACCTTGAAAGTGGGTCAAGGTCATTCATTTGAACAAACTTGGTAGCCCTTCATCCCAGCATGCTACAGGCCCAATATCAGTACCCTGGGCCTTTTGGTTATTGAGAAGAAGTTGTTTGAAGATTTTAACATATTTGACCCCTGTGACCTTGAAAGTGGGTCAAGGTCATTTATTTGAACAAACTTGGTAGCCCTTGATCCCAGCATGCTACTGGCCAAATATCATCTTCCTAGGCCTTTTGGTTACTGAAAAGAAGTTGTTTAAAGCAAAAAGTTGATGCCGGACAGACGGACGACGGACGCTGCACCATAACATAAGCTCCCTTGCCCTTCGGGCAGGTGAGCTAAAAAGGGAATTAGATCAGTTTGAGATAACTGTATAGATCAGGTGTGTTCCTTTCCCATAAACATACTGACTTTCCCTGTTTTTAATACCTGGGGCCGTGCACCGTTACAGTTGACAAACTTGTCAATCATATATCCAGTGATTATTGTAACCACAGTATTGATATCCCAGACTTAGAAAAGAGCCTCCTTCCAAACGTATGTGTGTGTACACAACATTATCAGAACACTATGACTAACACTTGTATACATGTGAAAGTTAAGTTACACAATACAATGGACAAATCGTCACTGCTTTTTCAATAATAAAAGGTAATGTAATTTATAAAACTATCCAAGTTCTTTGATACGCATGTTCACAAGCACATGTACATGTACAACAATTTGAAACATACATTTATCTACAAGTGAAATGCATGCTAATGTTAAGAATATGCTGATTATTAAATAATTAACACACACTTATTAC